TTCTGCTTCTCTCTTCTTTTTTTCCATCATTTTTTTAAATAATAAAAAAACCATTTTTAAAAAGTCTCTTTCTCAAGTCACCTACAGCAGGGGCAGCTAATCTGTGGCCCTGCAGATATTGCTGGGGCACAAGTCCTCTCCTTTCGAGGTTCACATACCTGCCTCAGGAACACCTGACTTTCCATTTCTCTCTCTTTTCGAAGGTTCCATCATGGATGTCAACGCCACTGCCCTGTGGCCTACCAGTGTCTCCTTGCAGCTGCCTTCCAAAGCTAGAAGCGAAGAGAGCAAAATAATGGACGCGATCAGATCTTCTTCTACAGCGTGGTTTTCCTGCTTGGCTCCCTCGGCAACGGGACCGTGATCTGGATCACAGCGCGCCAGGTCTTACGTACTGTCAATTGTGTTTGGTTCTTCCACCTAGCCCTGGCCGACTTTCTGTTCTCAGTCAGCCGGATAGTGCCACTGATGAAGAACGCCTTCTACGAGGGGTGGCCCTTTGGGAGCTTCCTGTGCCAAGCCAACAGCTTCATCAAGTACCTCAACATGTTCTGCAGCGTCTTCCTCCTGGCTGCTATCAGCTTGGACCGAGCAGTTTCCGTGTCCTACCCGGTGTGGTTCAAAAACCACCGGGGCCCCGCATGGCATGGCTTGCTGCTGCTGGGGCCTGGTTTGTGGCTACTGCCGCAAGCCTTCCTTTCTATCTTTACCGAAGAGTGGTAGCAGAGAAAGGTAGCACCAAGTGGTTCCCTCGCCCTGGGGGACCAGGTTTCAGTGAAGTGGGCCTTGTATCTTCTGAGGTTGGTCTGTGGGTTCCTGGCTCCCTTTGCCATCATTGTGGTCTGCTATGGGATCATCACGGTGAAATTGAGGAAGCGACAGACCACCTTTCGCTCCAACAAACCCTTCAAAGTCATCTTGGCTATTGTGGTCACCTTCTTCTCGTGCTGGGCACCGTACCACATATTCCTCATCCTCAAGCTGGTGGAGTGAAGGGTCAAGGGATGTCCATTGGCCTTCCCCTCAACGTCCCTCTCTGGCCTACCTCAACAGCTGTGCCAACCCCATCCTTTACTTCTTCCTGGGCCTGGGACTTCCACAGGAAGCTCAGCCGTTTCAACTGTGGTTGGGGCTTTCAGGAGAACTTTGCCTCGAAGAGAGCGGCTACTCCTTCAGAAGGCCTAGCAGATATCCAGAAGGAAGCTGCTTCATCCGTCGCTGAGCCGGTCCAATCGAATGTGGTTGATAGAGTGCTGTGAGCAAATTCAAGGTTCTGGAGACTTGTTGGCTTGTGAGGTCCATGTGTCATCGTTTGCTGAAACAGTCATTAATCCATCACATTCCTTACCAAATCAAATTTTGGACTGCCCGTTTCTGCCGCAAATTGTGGGAGTAGAATGAAATTTCACCTTGTGGTACACAGCGATGTTTTCTGAACATTTTTCAACTGGGAATAGCGGGTGTAAGGTTCATGGCAGATCCATTTCTTTATCCAGGTCAGGTTTTTCATTATGCCCCGGACTAAGCACAGATAAGTCCACCCCAGGATTTATACTAGACTGACAGGGCAAGGGCAGTTCTGGAAAGAAGAATGAGAGTGCACCCTGGGGCAAGGAAGGAACTCTAGAATAAATCCCTATACCTACTAAGCTTAGTCTGAATGCTGATTCTTACAGTCTCAGGTCTCTGAACATAACTTGTGTGTGTGGTTGTTTGTGGTCTTTTGCCCTATCATTGGGTCTGAAAGCAAATGTAGAGTCACTTGAGGGACAGAGCTCTGCTTTTGAGAACCAGGCTCTGGAAATGGATTGAGGACAAATTTCCAAAGTTCAGCTTAGCAAAGCTGGAAAACCAAGACCCTTAAAAACCTAGGGAGAATGTTTGAATGATATTGCAGACTCCCCCCCCTTCCCTGAGCAGTGAGACTATCCAGGGAACCAGGGCTTCCTGGGTTTAGGTGAGTCAGCATTGGAGACTTAGAGTGTCTTTGCAATAGATGCCTGCACACAACAGCCCTGCAGAATCAAAAAGTTGGAAGACCTGCTCTGGTTGACAGAAGCACGTGTGGTCTGAAGCTGCGCGGCGGGTGTCTACCCACCCCTGAAGGGATGCTTAGAACTTCTGCTGGCATCTGGGGTTTTTTGAACAGCACCCTCGCTTCCTCTTGCTCTCCTCCGTGCCATGTTGCTAAGCAGGTTTAAAGCACAGTTGCTTCAGAGGGGAGTGATTTAAAAAATGTACCTGTGATGGTGCAAAAATATATTAAATACAGTCATTCAAACAGGCTTCCTAATCCTTGGGATTTGTAGAAAGTTGCTCAAAAGAGACACACCTCTCCCGAGGATTTAAGCGACGGCTTTGCTCAACGTTTCCTAGCGCACAAAACAACTTATTCATCCCGCTTCCCCAGCCCAAATAGGAGACAGGCAGTCTTAATCATGCAGGGCTCTGTTTCTGAGCTGTTTTGTTGTAGGCGCTGCTGTCTCAAGGAGAGTCCTGCTGGGTCACATTTACTCCAGCATATTGTTCTCACAGTAGCATCCAGATGCCTATTAAGGAAAGCCTGCAACAAGGATGCAAGGGCAGTAGCCCTAGCTACACCATTGTTTCACAGTGATATAGGCAGTATAACCTGGCTGTCATATAATATAACCACCATGTCTGGAAACCTATTTGACAGTCCTAATCGCCTAATTAAGCTACCAGCTGGTGTCTGGGTACCCACCACACCTTGCATCAGAAAATTCCATATTTTAACTATGTGCTATATATGAAGGAGCTTCCTTTAGTCTGTTCTGAATCTCCCAACATTCAGCTTCATTGGACAGGCCTGGGTTCAAGTCCCACAGCAATGGGTTACTGGAGAGAAAAACCTAGTCGAGTGACCAGGGCCACCTTCACACCAAGCCAGATGATACCACCTTAAACAGTCATGGCTTCCCCCAAAGAATTATGGGAGCTGGAAATTGTTAAGGGTGCTGAGAGTTGCTAGGAGGAACCTAGTCCCCTCTCAGAATTACCAATTCTCAAGCGTGGCTTAACATTCCAATCCCACTTCACAGGGAACTCTTGGGATCAAAGTTCTGTGAGAAGAGACTCGGGTACCTTAACAAACTACAGCTCCCATAATGCTTGGGGAGTTCATAACTGCTTAAAGTTGTATCATAGTGCTTTAACTTGGTGTGAATGCAGCCTAGGACTAAACCAGGCATAGGCAAACTCGGCCCTCCAGATGTTTTGGGACTACAATTCCCATCAACCCTGACCACTGGTCCTGCTAGCTAGGGTTCATGGGAGTTGTAGGCCAAAAACATCTGGAGGGCCGAGTTTGCCTATGCCTGGACTAAACCATCCCCATTTCTCGCACTATATGTAGGTGGTGACATTTTATGTGCTGGGTATATGCATTTCACTGGACTATTCTTCAGACGTGGACGAAAATTCTTCGACAGTTCAGAGAAAGACATTTTCCACCTCCCCCATCTTTCAGAATGTTTGAAGGAAGCTCTTTTGCTGGCTCATATTGGGGATTGAAGGGAGTTGTGATCAAAAAGAGAAGGCAGGAAAGAGAAGGGGCAAAGTCTGTTTGAGCAAAAGGCAAATTGCCTATAAACGAGGCTGTTTGGGGTCAGTTAAGATGTGACTTGAGGCAAAGGGGGGTTGCAGGTCCTCTGTGCAGTGCTTATGCAAGGGCCAACAATCAGCTGTTTGTCAGGGCTGCGACATGCTATCTGTGGACCTTGCAACAGTGACATCAGCTGATTGCTGAGGCTTGCACAGTGACATGTGGCGTTTCACAAGCTGCAGCAACATCCGCGTGGGCAGGAAAAAGGCATCACTCAGACACCTGGCAATTGACAGGGGTATGAGAGGAGCCATGGGGGCAGAGACACTCACAGGAATGTGGAAGCTGTCTTTATAAACTGCTTTGAGGCTCTTTTTCAAGAGGTGTACTACTTTTATGAAATAAATAAATACTGAATGAGGCGGTGGTCCATCCAGCTCAGTACTGCTGCCACTCCAACACTTAGGTAGGAGTTTCTCCACGCTACCTGGAGATTGGACCTTGTACATGCAAAGTTGATGCTCTGCCACTGAGCTACGCTCCTCCCTCAGCTGCTGCTGCTCCTTCTCCTTGTCACTGTGCTTGGAAGAAAGCAGGTGAGCAGGCACCGGAAGAAGGTTGAAGAGGGAGGGGAAAACTGTTGGGGAGTGGGCCTGGGGCTAGGTGGTCTCATTGATTCCCGGAGCCCTGATGGACATTCAACCCCTGGGATAGCAGTCACTTGTAGCACAGACAGAATGCGTAGTCATGGGAAACAACTGGATTATTCCGTTTGTAGTGGGTACCAAAATAGGCTCTGATAGCTAGTGGCCTGGTATTACTTCAGGATTCGACACAGAGAAGTTTGCAGGGGGGGTAGGCTTGGGCAACTTAATTTATCACGAGTGAAACTTCTTATTGCAGAGGGAATAACTTGAGTGACATTCAGATCTGTTTCCACTTTAAAGGTTGACACAATAAAATAGCCAACAAGTTTTATTACATGGTTGCCCCTTTAAGCAGTGTCCCAGGTATTCCAACAAAAGAAAGAAGACCGAAGCACACAATAAATACTAGGAGTTCTATACAGCGTGGGCAAGATGCCTTGCTTTCCACATAGGGGGTGCAGCAGAGTTTTACCCCCCCCAAACACACATATTAAGAACCTCTTCCACAATCAGTCAAACCCAGTGATTGCAGTGTGACAAAAAACACTACTGGGGAGGGGTGGAAATGCCACATGTTGAGCGAGTCTAAAACAAGTTAGCAATGATGGAAATAAGATGTACTCCTAAGGTTCAAACCAGGACCAAATCTCAGCTGGTTGGGGCTAGTGCAAGCCCATGACGTTTACAAAACCAGCAGGAGTCTACTTGTGACTCATGGACGTCCAGCGAACTCATTAAATCCACATGAAGTCAGATGATTTGCTTTGTTCGGCAGGAGCTACAAGTTCCAGAGAAGTTGGTTTTTATCCTTCGGAGTGGAAAGTCACTTTTATTTATAGAAGAGTTTCCATTCTGCCAAGACATCGCCCTAAGTCTTTTCTGATAGAGAGGATACGCAGAACTCTCATTTGAGCTGGTCCATTAAAAAACAAACATCAGAATTCAGGCAATTTGTATGAACAAAACAGGCACGGCCAACCATTCTTATTGACTGATTACCCTGTTATAAGGTACTTGGATTCCACCCTGTTGTTCCAAAGATCAGACAGGCCGTACGGCCTTCTGGACCGAACATGAAAACACTTGGCCTCTCCCGTCTTGCCATCAGTCTCTGTCCTGGGAAGGAGCCATATTTTACAAGCCGAGGAGTCCTCCTTGGAAAGAAGTGCCAGGCCCCATAGTCAAGCATGGGGAGCCACGTGTCCACAGCAATCGAGGCCCATCAGTAGCGAACGTTCTCCTCTGCCGTGTGACAATCGCATCCATCCAGATACGCATCGCCTCCGCGCTGGGCGGCCACCATGCAGAAAAGGCGGTCGTCAAGTCTTGACACAGAAGGTCATCTTGGGGCTGGGGCTCTGGCAGAGAGGAGAGTCGAAAGAACAATGGAAACACAAAAATTTCTCATGGTGCGCTTTTTAGAAATCCAACCCTTCCTCCTCCAAGGACCTCATGGCAGGGCACGTGGTGCTCTTTCAACACCTCCCCCCCCGTTTTCTTTTTATCCTTATTGCCATTTTGTGGGGTGGCTGTAGGTTCAGTAACAGCAGAGCTGCTTTGCAAAGCAAACCACATCTCAATGGTTGGAGCAGGTGCTTTGCACAAACCCAATTTCTGCAGACTCCATGAAAAAATGGATCTAATATATTTTCATTTTTTAATATCATCCACTCTTTAAGTCATACTAGGCATGCTGCCTCATAATACAATTTGAGGACTGGTAGTGCAAACCCTCCTCTTTCTTTTATTTCCGTTAGCAGTTTGTACTTTATCCTTGGTTTTTTGCCCTGCCCGTATAAATCTTGCCAAATCTCTCTGCCATTCTTTAAAGCAATCTAGTCCACGTTATTATTGGGATGTTTGAAAGGAAAACAACATTTTCAGTAGCACAGTCATCTTTATTGGCAGCTATCCTTCCCCACAGTGATAAAATTTAGCCCCTACTCTAGATTACACTGGGGTAGCTTAAGGGGCAAGGAACTGAAAGCGGCTCACCTAGCCTCTCTTATTTCACCCCGGGATTGTCCCTAGGTCACCCACACCCCCATTTGCCCAGCTTCACACTGTCTTGGGTGGTTTTTGCTTAGCTGGAATGTGTCCATTTGTTTGTTTATTATCCTACCCCAAAGAACCCAGGAACTCTTCCCTGTTTACAAACCTTCACCCCCAGATCTACACTCCTCAATGACCCTGTCCATGGCTTCCCTGACGTGCTTTTGTTTGGCTGGAATGGTGTCCTTGAATTGTGTCTTTAAATGGTGATATTTGGCTGCCGTTTTGCCTGGATGGAGAGATGCCACCTGCTACGGTATGCAAAGGTTAAGGTCACACCTGTGCTCCACCCACTCCCCCCCCCCGGTCCTGCCCAATGCTGGCATGTGGGCCCCAGAATTTTGCCTGTGATGGAACTTAGTAACATAAGAATCTGCAGCCCACGTGGTCCAGCGTCCTATTCTCACAGGGGCCAGCCAGAGTCCCCCAAGCACAAAAACACTCTCCCCTCTGCTGTTTCCAGAAGTGTTACTGCCTCCAAATGGCTAGTAAAGCCACCGATAGCCCTCTCCTCCACGAATTTGTCTCATCCCCTTTTAAAACTATAGGAGCTGGTGGCTATCGCTGCTTCTTGTGGCAGCTAGTTCTAACTATGCTCTGCATCAGGGGATTTCACGGTGAAGAGAGTTTTAAGGGGGGGGTCTGCTTTTTGGTACCTTAAAAGCACTGCGGAGGTGGTCGTAGTATACCTCTTCGATGGCCTGGAAGTAAATGACGCCCTTAAGCTTGGTCTCCTCTTTGTCTGCAACGAGAAAGAAGCAGAGGGGCACATTAGGAAGCTGTGAGCAGCAGGGAAATCCAAACAGAGGACAGGCATGAATTTTTCAGGCACATCACATTGACCCCTTCACATTGATCCCTCCACATTGACCCCAACACAAGCATAGAGGCATTCTCTAAGGGCAATAATCGGACATTCCAAGAATTGGGCTGCCAGCAGCAATTCCTGGGGAAAATAGCCTACTGGGTTGCCAGACTGCCCAAACTTTAACTTCTTCATTTTACTTTTTTTATTTTAAAGAGAGAGCTTTCTAGTCCTATGCTGAACAAGTGAATTGCTATGGCTTAAGAGGGAAGCCCTGGCTGAAATTCAAGAGCCTGAGCAGGGCGAGGATGAATATGCTTTCCAGTATATTTCATTTTGTTAGCAACTTGCTTTCCCAGGATGATGATTCTTCATTTTTTATACTTATATGCAAATTCTCACATGCAAATAAGAAATATGCAAACAGACTTGATTTGTATGTTCTACACATACCAGCGGTTTGAGCCTTCAATCAGCCTGGGGAGATTAATGTTGTGTACAGACGTTTGAGATCAAAGGAAGGTGCTTTGTTGCAATAAATGGAATGCTTCTGCCACCCACCCCACAACACAAATTGCGCAGGATCTGGATCAGTGCTGTGGCAGAGTCAAAGGGATAAAAGCCCACCCCAAGGTCCTGATCCAGATTGGAGCCATGCACTGTCAATTTCTGAAAGAAGAAAAGGCTGCTCATATGACTAACACTACATGCAGTTTGGCTCTAAGTCTGCCCATTGAGCCTTAAACTTTCTGCACTGGCTGGCAACAGCTCTCTTTCCTATTTCTGCTGCATGAGACCCCCTTTGACTGGAAATGCAAGGGAGAAATTAAACCAGGGACCTTCTGCAGGCAGAGCAACTGTACTCCAAGAGTACATAGCTTTCAGAACTGGGGGAGCCAAGAGCCATTCCAAGCAGCAGGTTCTGATAACAGGTGAGCACCCCCCACCCAAGTAGCTAATCGGGGGATAAGCAGGCTCACCCCATCCTCTAAAAAGGTGCCAGTCTTTTTAAATCTCTGCATGCAAATGAAATAAAGGTAAAGGTACCCCTGACCGTTAGGTCCAATAGCGGACGACTCTGGGGTTGCACGCTCATCTCGCTCTATAGGTTGAGGGAGCCGGCATTTGTCCCCAGACAGCTTCCGGGTCATGCGGCCAGCATGACTGAGCCGCTTCTGGCAAACCAGAGCAGCGCATGGAAATGCCGTTTACCTTCCCGCCGGAGCGGTACCTATTTATCTATTTGCACTTTGACATCCTTTCAAACTGCTAGGTTGGCAAGAGCAGGGACCGAACAACGGAGCTCACCCCGTTGCGGGGATTCGAACCGCTGACCTTCCAATCAGCAAGCCCTAGGCTTTAGACCACAGCGCCACGCGCATCCCATTGCAAATGAAATAAATACATCCAATTTTATTTTTGCTTTTCATTTCTCCAGAGAACATTTATTTCAAGTTGGACAGCTCTGTAAATGCAGCATAAGACTCTTAATGTCAGGGTCATGGGTTCAAGTCCCACATTGGGCAAAAGATCCTGTATTGCAGGGGGTCAGACTAGATGAACCCTCATGGCCCCTTCCAGCTCTACAATTCTGACTCTATGGACATTTTTGAATGCACTTCATACATGCTTGGGAGTTTTGCTCCCAGGTGAGAAAGCCTTTCTTCCACCCCACCCTCCAAGCCATAAAAAGTGGGAGCAACCTCCCAGGACCAGCCTGTTGGATCAGGCCACTGTGAGAACAGGATGCTGATCTAGGTGGGCTTCTGGCGTGATCCAGCAGTGCTTCCCTTGCATTTGTACATGGCGGTCGGTCGTGGACTCTCCTTCTCACCTGCATAGTAGGCCAGGACACGTTTCTGACGGTCAAAGGTGAACCAGCGCTTCTTCCAGGTCTTGATCCTGCCACCCATCTTGACCAGGTAGCCTTTGCAGGACTTGTTGGTCACCCGCACCTGGGAGCAGGTGTCTACGCTGTGCCCCGATGCCTCCAGGTGTTTGCGCAGGTCAAATGCGGCTGGTTTTTGCTCCTGGATCTCGGCTGGGTTAGGATCCTGCAGGACAACAAGCATGGCAAGGGTTAAATTTGGAAGTGGGGTTTTTTTTTGGGGGGGGGTGCGCGCGTTCAGAGCAGCCTGTACTCTGCGACTGCACCATGTAAGCACAAGAAGCCAAACCGGGCACAGAATTCAGTTTCCTAAGGTTCTCGACATTATGCTTTCGCCAAAGCAAGTTTCTGGTCCTTATGGAGGCAAAGAGCAGCTTGAAATACATGTGAGGGAAGGGCAACTTGAAATACATGTGAGGGAAGGGAGTTATACCAGGGAGTTATACCAGCGACGCTGGGACAAAAAGAACAGGAGAGGACTGTTGTCTTCAAATCCAGCACGCCAGCTTACTCTAAGTATCTGATCTGGTCACTGTGGGAAACCGGCTAGATGGACTTTTGGCAAAGCTGTTCTTGCAATCTTATAATGAAGCCTCACGTTCTCAGGCTAGTGGGTGGGAGCTGAGCAGAATTTGCATTTGAAGCTTGACTGCCTTGTAGAACACATCTCTCCCCACTTCCTATATGCAAACGGCGTTTCTGGTGCGGAATGGGGATGTTACTTTGGGTATGAAATTCTGGCCTTAAGCGAAACATTACAGATATATCCACCAGCTTTCTTTTGGAGTTAGCCCACCTGACCTAGCATCACCTACCTTGATTGGCAGCACCTTTCAAAGCAGAGATACATACTTAACAACGAACGAGCCTAAGAAGAGCTTGGCTGCCGGATCAGGCCCATCTAGGCCAGCATCCTGTTCTCACAACAGCCAACCAGATGCCTGTGACAGACCCGGAAGCTGGACCAAAGGAAAAGAGCACTCTCCCCTCTAGCATCTGGTGGTTCCCTCGCTGCGAGAAGCCAAGTTACAGGGAACCAGGCAGAGGGCCTTCCTGGTAGTGGCACCCGCCCTGCGGAACGTCTTCCCACCAGATGTCAAAGAGAAAAACAACTATCTGACTTTTAGAAGACATCTGAAGGCAGCCCTGTTTATGGAAGCTTTTAATGTTAAACAGTATTTTAATATTTTGTTGGAAGCCGCCCAGTGTGGCTGGGGAAACCCAGCCAGATGGGCAGGGTATGTGTGTGTGTGTGTGTGTGTATTATTATTATTATTATTATTATTATTATTATTATTATTATTATTATCAGAAGCACTACTGCCTCCAACCAGGGAGGCAGAACACAGCCATCATGGCTAGCAGCCATTGATAGCCTTCTCCCTCAAGAATTTCATCACTGCCTCCTGTGGAAGAGAGTTCCCCAGATTAACTATGTGCTTCACGAAGAAGTACTTTTGTTTATCTCTCTATAACAGAATTCAAATTGTAATACAATAAAAGTAACAAAGGGAGCAATATAATTACTATTGTTATTATTATTATTTATTGATTTACATACCGCTTACATGCCAAATGGCTTCTAAGTCATATCTAACTACATAACCATTAGAAGACATCTGGAGACAACCTGGTTTAGGGAAGCATTTTATAGTTTTATTATGTTTTATATATGTTGAAGCCACCCAGAGTGGCTGGGGCAACTATTATTATTATTATTATTATTATTATTATTATTATACTATAAAATCAATAAATAATTAAAGTACACAGTCATAGTTCCATTGGGGCATTACAACATCCTTAATTAAAATATCTCCGCTTCTGGCATCTTCAAGCAGGACTGGGAAACAGACTCTCAACTAAACCTCTGGACAGGAGCTACTTAAATAAAAAGCTGATTAAGAGATTTTAAAAAAATAAATAAAATAAAATAAAGCATCTGCCACAGAAACATTGCTTCCGCAGAATTCAAATTGCAATGCCATGAAATACAATGTAAGAAATGAAAGAAGCAATAGTGAAAAATCAATGTGAGCGTTTAATGAGGGCATGCCACGGACCACTTGAAGGATCCTTGTGGGCCACTCATGGTCCACGGACCACAGTTTGGGAACCCCTGACGTAAACTAAGGCTATCAATGGCTACGATCCCATGATCTCTATTTGCTAACTCCAGCTCGGCTCTGAATACCAGCTGCAAAGCAGCAAGAATGAAAGTGTGTTATTTACACTCCTGTCCTCCTTGTGAGTTTCCCATAAGCGCCTGATTGGGCACTGAAGGAAACAGAATGCCAAAGAGCAGATCAGCCTTTGGTTTGACCCAGCTCTTAGGAAGAAGCTACTCCTCTGATCAAAAAGCTGAATTGTTGTGCGACAATCATACAGAGTGCAATGAGATTGAGTGTTTGCGGGAGGGAGGCTTGATTAATTTCATTGTACACAGGTTGTACATTGACAATAAAGGTATTATTATTCTTGAATCATTTTCCCCATCCCCCTGATGTGTAGGTATAGCTGTCCGGAATGCGCTCTGTGCATGCTCAAAGTCGCTTCCCAGCTTCACAAGATGCATACCAGATGCAAATTTGCAACAGGCTCCAGGTTTAGCCCTGGCAAAGCCCGTTTGAGCTGAAGCCACCTTCCCGCTGGGATCCAAAGACGAAAGGGATCGTAAAAGCTCGTTTTTGATTTTGTAGAAGTTCTCCTACCTTGGTGGATGGGGGCAACCTCCATGCGTTTTGGCCTCCTCGGCGGCTTTCTTGGCCTCCTGCAAGGGAAGAGGGATTGAGCAGGCGATAGGCCAGCGAAGCGCCAGCAGCCACAGGCATACCCCAAAAAAGACAAACATCACACGGGCACATGCACACAACCCCAAACCGCAAAAGATAAAAACCAAACGGACTCCCAGACTCCTCCCCTCACGCTCTCTCTCCGTGAAGACCAGGCGAGCAGAGAGCTGACATAGTGAAACCTGCAACTTCCTTGTCCTCGGAGGCACATGGCAGGCAACTTAGGTTACTCTGATTTATGTTCGCTTTCCCCCACTGCCTGCCCACCGGCTAGACCTCACTACTGACAAGATGTTGCGGTGTTCCGTCTCAAGAAAAGAAAAGGGAGTTGAGCAGAGCAATGATGCTGTTAGTTAATGTTAGATTCTGGACTTGACGGTCTAACGCCAAGGCTTCCTGCAGCTGTTACTGGGGAGTTTTGTGTAGTTTGTT